AATGATTGCGATTTTTGAGGAAACGAATTAGTAATAGTATTCCAATTGTATGTATAAACATTGCTAAAGGATCACCCTGAATTCTACCTTCACAACTCAAAATGAAGAGTTGAAGAGAAATTTTGCACATGTAGTCCACCTAAGCCTGGCATTCCACAAAGCCAATGTTCGACTCAAAATATTAAATGCATTTTTAGCGTATAGCCAATAGCATGATACTATAATAATCAGATATGCTCAACTGGCGAACGAATTTAGAACTTGTTTGCGCATTACGTCATCGGGTGACAAATTTAAATTTTGTTGTCGCTTGTCGCCAATGAATATTAAGAGAGATTTACACAGTAACATTTTTATGAACATTTCCGCGGTTGTAAAGTGCATAACAAATATGGCACAGGAAATGAATTGAATAGGATGTTTAGTTTTTCACCGAGTTCGCACTATGAATGAGTCGATTTCGGGAAGGTCTCTTATCAAAAGTTGATCAGGGATAAAAATGTTTCATCGTTCGTTTTAGTGCACACTTTAGAGGTAGCTTTTATGACTAATTTCTCCAAGATGACCATTCCAAGTATTATTATATATTATATATTATATTATATATTATTATATATTATATTATTATATATTATATATTATATATATTATTATAGTATCATGAGCCAATAGCGATTTTTGATAAACGCATCATTGATACTGGCCGTCAACGAAATATTTCCTGGCAATCGATTTCAAAACAACATGCCCATGAGGCACACCACAAATATAACAGGGCTGCTGATAATATCAGAGCCTCATTCACTTCTCTTATTTGCTCATGTGAAGATACCATGCACATTGGCCCGTATGAATAAAAGTAAGCAAATGCTTATACTTGCAAAATTCAAAGTAAATACTCGTAACTGTCCCTTCATACTGGTCTCTTTAGCATATGGTTTAGCAGCGCTGCACTGCGTCCTGTCCTTCTGCTTAGAAGCGCTGCTAAGTCGCCCAGTGCGAAGGAGCACTTACAAGTATTTACTTTGAATTTTGCAAGTATAAGCATTTCTTATTTTTATTCATACGGCCCAATGAATTCATCAATTTTTAATACAATATGGCAGAGAAATAGGTACACCATACTCTTTCAAGTCTTGTATTGGGGAAAGGTCGCGATTCAGTTCAGTCTGATATGTGCCATCAGCATGAGGATTAGGGGTAGGTACCAAAAATCCTTCGTGCTGTGAATACTGAAGATGGAGCATAAGTTCATTTTGGGCGTTAAGGTAGCGGTTTCAAGTTTTCGATATATTGGCCCATATGAATAAAAATAAGCAAATGCCATGGTGCTTTCACTTAAACACCTTGACTTACCCAACCCTGATTGTGTGAAATTTCTTGGAGTGTACTTGGATCCCAAATTATCGTTCGATTCTCACATCAACTATATTTCCGCCAAACTGAACACAAATATATTTGTGCTACGTAAACTGGCTAACAACGTATCACAGACAGTATTGTTAACCGCCTACCATGCACTGTGTCATAGCCTACTGTCCTACGCCATACTGTCTTGGGGAAACTGCTCGCAAGCGAAGTATGTCTTCAAGCTACAGCGTCGTGCGGTCAGGATCGTCGCCAATGTGAGATATCGGGACTGCCGAAATACCTTCAAGACATTAAACATTCTAACATTACCGTGTGTGTATATTTTAGCAGGTTTATGCCATGCTAAGTCGAACGCGCATACTTTTATAACGCAACGTGATGTTCATAGGACAGAAAACTTTTTTACGTGTACCCTTCTGCAGGTTGACTAAATCCCAAAATGGTCCCCATATTACTATTTACAAACTGTTTAACTGTTTACCTGACAAAATCAAGCAAAGTGATTTTATATCATACAAAGACAAACTAAGAAAGTTCTTAATTGCAAATGCTTTTTACTCTGTTCAGGAATTTATTAATTACAGTAAGGATAACCTGTCATAATTATTAGTTATACATATTTCATATACAGATTCGATTTATGACGATTGTAAGTAGATGTACAATGCATGAAATATATTATTATTATTATTATTATTATTGTCGGTGTTTCTTGTGAGAACTCAGGTCTAGCCTGGTTAACTAATCGCACGGATTAATATCAAGTAACGATTAGTGTCTGTGTCTGTGTCTGGTGAAGTTATGTAGGGTTCTAAAGAAAAATAAAAAATAAAATAAATATTCACACACTCACATTGGAAATCTAGAGATAGTATGTAATTCAATACTTACAACAAAAATATCATTATAATAATTCCTGTAATTTTATTAAATAGAGTTTATTGTGTAAGTGTTTCTTTGGCTTTGCGTTTGGGTTGAATACGAGTGGGTTGTGATAACGTGGTGTGTTTATGTGAAGAAGGAGATTTGTGTTTTTTAACTGTGCTAGGACGTGTAACTTTATTCGGTGGACCTGTCTTTGTGGTACATGTTGCCTTACTTGTATTTATGGTGTTTCTTTGTTCTTGAGGTTGTATTTGTGTGGTTGCTTGGGTTTTTTGGTGGAGATATTACAGTATGTTGTGAGCATGTAGTTCTGTTAAGGTTTTCGCGTTTCGGTTGAATCCGAGTTGGTTGTGATAATGTGGTGTGTTTCTGTGAAGAAGGAGTTTTGTGTTTTTTATTTGTGCTAGGACGTGTAACTTTATTGGGTGGACCTGTCTTTGTAGTGCAAGTTGCGTTACTTGTATTTGTGGTGTTTCTTTGTTCTTGAGGTTGTATTTGTGGTTGCTTGGGTTTTTGGTGGAGAATAGTATTTTGTGAGCAGTAGTTGCTGTCAAGGTTTTTGCGTTTGGTTGAATACGAGTGGGTTGTGATAACGTATTATTATTATGGTCGGTGTTTCTTGTGAGAACTCAGGTCTAGCCTGGTTAACTAATCGCACGGATTAAAATCAAGTAACGATTAGTGTCTGTGTCTGTGTCTGTGTCTGTTGAAGTTATGTAGGGTTTTAAAAAAAAAAAAAAAAAAAAAAAAAAAAAAATTATTATTATTACTAATCTGTTTAGCAGCGCTGTACTGCGTCCTGTCCTGCTGCTCAGCATCGCTGCTAAGTCGCCCAGTGCGAAGGAGCACTTACGAGTATTTACTTTGAATTTTGCAAGTATAAGCAATTTGCTTACTTTTATTCATACGGGCCATTGTTATTGAAGAAGAAATCTTAAGTCTTAGTTTGATAGTTTCACTTGTAGTAGTGTTTCTCACTTAATTACATCTTGTTATTGTGAAATCAAAAGTGTATGTAATTTCACGCAAGTTGTCTGTTTATTCGAACCCTTCATTAATATCAACCAAAGAAGTTTCATGTTCAAGTCACGATTAGCTTTATTGGATTCTTGTCCAAAGTTCATTTTGAGTGTTAGTCCAAATTTTGTTAAAGTTCGTTTGGAATATGAGGAATTTGAACTTGCCCACTGTCTCCTGGGAGTTAAAAAAATAATTGAGGTCAAAATTGAATCATTCTTCTATGCCGGGGTGAGTATTTGTACTGGGAACAAGTTAAAATTGAAGAGCCAACTAGGTTTGCAGTGATTTAGAATAATTAATTTTGCTATAGAATGTAATACCTATTAAAACTCCTTGAAGACGTGCGCGTCTATTAAACGTGTTTAGATAATAAAATCCCTAACAGAAGATGTTATCAAATTTTATTTTCATGCACATTTGTAAAATTTCAATTGAGATCCCTCATTTGTGTTAATTACTTTTCACAATAGATAACAAAAATGGGATCATTTTCATCTCGTTTTTATATTGTATTGTTTGGAAACTCACCTTTAAAGATATTTTGGGCTTCAAGTTTTGAGATATCCTACTTAGGAATGCTTCAGATATTGAACTTTGATATTTTCTCGTACTTTATAAATTGGTAATTGGTAATAAGAATTATACTTACACATTGTAACTGTGAAGTGTAGAACTATCGCAATAAATCTAAACAAATGTTTTCGACAAAAATCCTCGATCACATAAATTTTTACCTTAAATGAGACATATTTTACTGTAAGGATCGCCTTTTGTTTTTGAGATATAACTTAAGCGATATTTAAATGCTCAATTTAGAAAGAGCTTGAAATTCTAAGGCCAAATACACGCTAAAAAGTATTATACTGAATTTTTAAATATTTTCGAATATTCGAGATAATTGCTCCTTTAAAAGTTTTAAAACCTTACTTATAAATTATAATAATTATCGGTTACGTCATACCACAAAAACAAAAGATTATCATTCAGTGACAATTACAGTAAAATATGTCTCATTTAAGAAAAAAATATGTTCCAAGATTTTTTCAAAAACGTTTACTAATGGATTTATGGTGATAGACTTTACGCACTGGCAAACGTACTATTTTGTAGGAAATGAAATTGATTTTTGTTTCATAATTCATAGTCGTACGTATAGTTTATATAAAAACGCAGTAGGTACGTATAAATTAATTAATCTAAAATGTCAGTAGGACAATTACTGAAAATTCAAAAGGCACATTTGATGACAATTTCAAAAAGTATAATTTTTGCTTGGTCTAGGCACTGGAATAGCGGGGAAACTGATTACTTCTGACTAATTAATCAAGTCATTAATTCTCAATCCCTTGAGTAACAATGCGCTCGGCCTCACACACACCTAACGGCTACATTAATAGGCACTTAGTTACGAAGTAGCTTCTCATAAATTTCCTAGTGGTATAGGTACTGCAAAATGCCAATTACTGATCTAAGTAAAATAACTAAAAACAACAGGAGTTTTGTGGCATTTACCCTAAAACCCTCTCCACAACGATTGCTTCAAAGTGGCTTTTTAATTAAAAATTTTACCCTTGTTGTACAAAGTCGTAACACTCCAGTTTCATATCACCCTTGACATCTAGATACCGCCCGAATTGTTACTTAAAGAATTTACGGGCTGATCATGCCTCAGTGGTGGCGTCGTGAAAAATACCTACTCATAAAATGAAAATAAAGTTTCGTACCGCATTAAACTGATCCTGCCTTTGGATGTGATGCTGAATAAACATAACGTTATGAATGGCCTTTTCCAATTCGAATGGGTACTTTTTACGATTCCCGCAATCGTTATCATCTATTCCAGAGAATACTGACGATAACCCGTTATAGACCAGGCGACCTCCAAACGATGCACCAAATCCTCGCAATCTGAAAGATCTAACATTAGAATCGTGTTTTTTACTAGGGTTGGAGCTTACCGATTTGTCGCGGTTGTTGTGTAAAGCCCGTTGCACCCGCTTGCGCGATGTCTTGAAGCGGTTGACGAAGAGGAGGTGGAGGATGAATCGGTTGAAGGCATCGTGTCGATTTCCCTTTTGCGCAATAATCTCGATGATGAAAATTTATTTGCGGCTAATTCGGTCAGTAAGTCCTTGGGAACTCTCATCAGTAAAAGCTTGGGTACACTCTTGATAAAAAATGATCTGACCCACGGGGCCATTTTGTGCGTGCTCGGCTTTCGATAGTGCACGTTTAAAATTACAATTGTAATCACAACGGACAAACCGACTAAGACCATTGTGAAAAGAATGTACTTTCCGAGCAGTGGCAGCGCTAGTGATGTTGATGGTATGATCTCAGAAATTAGTAAGAAAAACATAGTTTGGGATAGTAAAATATTGATACATAAGGCTATTTTTTCACCCGAATCGGCGGGAAGGTAGAATACCAACACTGAGAGGTAGGATATGCCAACGCATGGCACGATGAGATTGACAGTGTAAAATAGTGTCTTTCGCCTGAGAGTAATATTGAAGAAGATATCTGAAATGTGTCGAGTTAGAATGAGTGAAAGGCGCATTGAAGCTTACCCGGATAGGGCTCGGCACAGCAAGGATAGTACTTTTCATGTCTTTCGGCGGGGACGCCTAATATATCCCACTCGACACTAGGATAGTACTCTCGAAGGTCAATACCAACATCCACCTTATCTTCCCCTATTTTTTGATTAATGTGCTTCAGGTCGATCTAAAGTGATGTTTGAGGTAATAGTGCAATTGCTACAAGTTGGTACCTGATTCCCGTCGTAGGTCCATGAACCAAACTTCATAAAGCAGGTTTGCTGATCGAATGGGAAGTACCTCACGTCGATTTCACAAGAAGACTTGAAGATTGCAGGAGGCGTCCATAACACCTTTCCAGTGTGACGTAACACTGCTTTTGTCATCGTTGTCACAACATACTCTCCATCCGCGCTAAATCAACAAATATTTCAACACACATAAGAAAATTGCCCTGAAGCAAGACGTACTTGTTATAGAGAACAATATCTGGCAGCCAGATGTGTTCCGACGGAACGTAGAGCTCCGTGACTCCTCCATATTCCGCTGGATCCCACATAAACTTGTGATCCTCCCATTCCTAATTTGCATCAAATGTATTTCAAGAAAGTTTCACTTAGGCATACGTACATGCTCCAACCAAACATTCGTTGTCAAAATCTGATCCTTTAGATTCTAAAAGAGATCAAAGTTTGTATGAATTATTTATTACAGCAACAAGTTGCTTGAATAACTAAGTTAACAAAATTCCCAAAATGTATAAATTGAATTTTAATCAAAACCCTCCTACCAGTTCAATTAGTTGCGACAATCTCAATCCAAGTTTAACGAGAACAGTATCTGTATTGTTACTAACGGGCCTGATTAGCCTGTTGTAGTTACTTAATAAATCATCGTAAAGTCTTTTAGCGTCGGGATTTGAAATCGAAATTGTGACACATATATAAACTAACACCAACAGTAACAATAATTTTTCGTAAGACATAAGTAATACACTAATTAGATTTGTTGTTTACTATAGCGTCCCTTGATTAACTTAACTGTGGTCTGCGAAACTTCGCGTAAAGCTGGACGGTTCATGGGTAACTGGACCAATTCAGCAGCCTGGAGATCAATACAAGAGGCGCATGACTGCTGACAAGGGGTTTTACCCTGAGGAGTTAAATACTATATCATCTTTTTTGCACTTTATTACTGCCTTGTGTAGCTTCCGATTAAACTGATTGTAGCACTCGCTCATACTGTCCATTGTAATTATTCTAACGGTTGACAAATATAACTAATTATATTTTTGTACGCTTATATATCGGCACGTCACTAAAAAGCGCAATGTGACGTCAACTCATTCATCAATGTCACAAATTCATTAAATTCTTATGAATTGTAGGTAAGTTAATTATGATGAAGTATCTTGCAAACCATGAAAACCGATAAATTAAGAAGGAAGAAGAAAATATGACTGAAAGTTACTTTACCTTTAAGGCTTTTTAATTAATTTTTCGCCAATTTCAATTTACCCGGATTTCTTATAAAATATTTAAAAACGTTGCGGTACATTTCATTACTATATAATGCTGAACATACATTACAAAGATTTAAATTAAATATAAATGCAAAACGCGCAGGTTAGTATATTTGTTTAAAAACTTCAAATGTGGATCCAGGTTCGTAGAGTTAAGGTGTCGACGTGATTAATAATATTTTCTCGAAATCGTCATAGAACCTTCATTTTCATGCCTACTTTATGTCAGGAAAGTTTAGTTCCCATGACAGTAGCAGTAACACTTTACCTGACTACTTTTCTTGCCACCTGTCACGTTACTAGACTCCTTTTTCTGCCGCCTCGTAAGTCACATTAGTAATGTCATCATTGACACATTGATATTAATCAAAAGTTACATATGAAAAAGGTGTAATACAAAAGTCCTCGGAAAATAAATAATTTTCCTGAGATGTGTGTAAATAACTATTAAACGTTTCATAGTTCTGGAAGCATAGAATGGCCATACAAGTTACTTTTGTTAATTTACAAATTTAGCTATAATTTTACACATCTCTATGGGAATTTGGAAGATTTACTAATCATATTTCCCAGGGAATGTGCAGATCTATCTGGGAATCACAGATCTCTTCGGGAATTTACAGATCTATCTAGGAAGATACCGATATATCTAGGAATTGATTATCGCCCATTATAGTTAATTCAGTATTGTACTGTAATGAAATGAAAATAAGGATATTCCAATTGCAAACGATAAGGGTGAAGTGCGCGAGATTCTGAAGGAATATGCAGCGATTTTGGCGAAACTACAGAAGAGGCGGAAAATGGGTCCGAAATAGACGCAAAAAAATGTGGTGAGGAGAAGCCTGATCATGATTCAAATTCGAATAGTTCGGATGAGGATTCTAATGACGATTTCAATTCACTTCTCTTATCGCCCAATGCGCCAAAGGATAGAAAAAAAACCCCGAGTGGCTTAATAATTACAGCACAATCAACTTTGCTGAAGTGTTTCTGATAGAAGATGAGCAACGATTTTTACCGAAGCTGTTGAATGTGAGGATAGCAGTTAGGTAGATCGATCTCAAAACTAGATGCATGTAGATTTGACCGAACTCTCTCTGGGAAAGCTGGTGCCCATAATCAATAAATGGGCAGATAAGTTGAACCGAAACCCAAATAAAAATAAAATAAAAATAGGTAGTACCTATTAACAAATATCGCGCGAAACATCGTTAGGGGATGCGCTGGACGGCTTGGCATTGATTATACTGACACTTTCACTCCAGTTGCAGTTTGAAATCCGCTCGATTTCGAACATTGTTGTCCATTGCATCGTCAATGTGAAACGGCGCCCTTGTTTGGTGATTTAGTACAAATCTTCATGAAGCAGCCCAAGAGGTATAAAGATCAACAAGATCACAAATCGTGCGCCCCAAGTCAAAGAACTATTTTTCGCATCGATATCAAAGAAAGGAAAGCGTTAAAGAATAAAGATCAGTTATTTATGCCAACTGTAGGTTACCCACCAAAACTAAAAAAAAAACTACTAGGTGTTCAAGAGCTTCCAAGAACATTCATGAGTCTTTTACCAACTGTAATAGTAGTACTAACCAAACTTTCTTTATTATACAGACATCCAGCTGAACCATAGGATTTGCATTTACGCCGATAGTTTTTATTTCGAGGTTTTCGTGGCTCTAACATTTCAGCTGAAAGATGGAAAAGGACAGAGCTTGGTGGTCAGCTAAATCTGTCTCCCGTACGACTCAGAAGAGGCTCCACCCACGAGAGAGCTGGCTGGTGGAATACAGTGTGGGCATAATGATCCATCTCGGTCATGTTTTTTTCCAATGTATTAATAAGCTCATTGGTTTAATTAATCGAATTAGTAGATTTTGCTATGCTTACAATCATGCTGCCACATTTGTGTCCATCATGATAAATTCATCACCTTGGTTTCCAGTTTAATTTCTACCAATCCGGTGTATTTGGCCAACTACCAGTAAAACATAACACACCGTACGACCACACTGTCTCTTTAAAGTCAGTCGGAACGGTTGGGTGGGCTACCTTTGCTCTGTTGGAAAGCGGGAATAGGTGGAATAGACACTAGACAGCCACATTAGTACGCGAGGCAATAACAGAGGACAGCTGTAAACTGTGGAACCTTACGAGGAACGAAGAGAACATCTTGGCGAAACTTAGACCTTAAAAAGGTTCGTAAGGAAGTTCGCAGTCTCTTTAATAGAGCCATGCAAACTAAGGGTAAGAACATGCCGAAGATGCTCTACTGCGATACCTCGCTACCTTGCACCTTCACTGCGATACCTCGATGTTTAACATGGATGTTGGGTGTTCATACCCGTTCACCATCGCGGTCGATACAGCGATGTAATCTCCCACTCCATTTTTCGAGATTTTCATTTATTTGTTAACGGTTCCCACGAAACAATGTTCTCTAGTGACAGTAAGTGTGAATTTATGTCATCAGCGGTAAAGTGGTGGATTTTAGGCAGCTTATCAAACCGGAGGTACAGTGCACACCCGGTGAATGAAAAGAGGCAAGAGCTTGGGGAATATCACCATCTTTTCCAAGAACTGAAGAAAGACGAAGAAAAACTTTACAGTTACACGAGAATGTCAATTGAAACATTTAATTATATACTCAATAAAATTGAGTCTGAACTGGATGTCTTGGAATATAACAACTTACATACCAATCCAATTCTGGCTGAGGAAAGACTGGTGCTGACTTTAAGGTAAGTTGAACTTTATCAAATAACGTCCTTTTGCAATTTAGTACATGAAACAACAATCAAAGTATGCGTAGGTATTTATTACAAAATAACTGTATTGAAACTAAACAAATACAAAAATACTAAACTTAAAAAAAATACTTAAAAAAGGATTAAAGTTCCAAGATTGTATAATCTGTTGTATAAGTATCAGATTCCTGTTGAATTATTGTTTCTTCCTGAGTAATTTGATTATGTCGCGAAGTAGACGTTTGTACGGTAGTAGAAGGTTTTGCATTTGACACTTTTGGATTTTCCGTTTCTGGAAATGCAAGTTCGAAGAGTGTCTTCTGCACCTTCATTCGAAAAATGAATTTATCTTTATCAGTCAGTTTTTTCACAGTTGGTAATAGTGAATCAAAAAAACCAATATCTTCGTCATTAACGTTTTGAATTTTTCTTTTTTTTGCCAACTCTAGTTTCTGTGTTTCTAGAGACAGCAATTCTTTTCCAATTATAGCTTGTGCTGTTAATCGTTTTCTGTATCCAGCTCTTGAGACTGACTGAGGCTCACTGGATAAAGATGTCGGCGTTTGAAGAAAGGGCTGTCGATCAGAAGTAGACTCCAGACCGTGTGAACTGAATACACTATCCACACTCTCCTGACGGATATCTCGCTCCTCATCGACATCGTCACTGTCACTGACCTCTTCAGTATTTTCAGTATTTTGAGTATTTTCAGTTTCTTCAGTATTTTCAGGCCGTGTTAAATTTCCCGATGAATTCCGGGGGGTAAATTGATCTTTTAAAAATTGTAATTTTTGGAAGAACGGCCATTGACTTGCAGCTTCCTCCGGTGCTCCATCACCAGACCTTCCCTGGTACTTTTTAAATTGTTTACCGAACTCCTGTCTAAGGTTTTTCCACCGAGATTTTACCTCCGTAACTGTAACAATTTAATAAATTAACAAAATTCGTAGAAATTGGAAATGTGAACATAAAAATATAATAAATAAAACTAAAAGTAAGTATAATAAAACTAACTTAAGATTTATCGAACGAACTTTATCTCATTGTAAAAATTTGAAATTGTTTATAACACTTCGTTTTGATTAATTTGCAGGTATCTCGCTACGGGAAGCAGCTTCAGAACATTGGCTTTTTCTTTTAGAATGGGAGCTTCTACCGTTAGCAAAATCGTTTACCAAGTATGCAACATTCTTTGGACAACACTACAACCTATTCACATGAGAGCACCTACAACGTCGTACTTTTTATGTGCTGCAGAGGAGTTTGAAAGACTGTGGGATTTTCCCAATTGCATTGGTTCTTTGGATGGGAAACATGTCAGAATAAAGTGCCCAGCTCACTCCGGCTCGATGTTCTACAACTACAAATCGTATTTTTCAATAGTTTTGCAAGGATTAGTTGACGGTCACTATAGGTTCATATCTATCGACGTAGGAGGTTACGGAAAGCAGAGTGATGGAGGTACCTTCAGTGCATCTACCTTATCGAAACTGTTGGAAAATAATAAATTGGGAATACCATCGCACAGGAAACTCCCCAGTAGTGACTATACTCTACCATATGTGTTCATCGCCGATGAAGCCTACCCTTTGAAGGAAAATCTAATGAAACCTTATTCAGGTACCTCACTGACAGCAACGCAGGAAAATTTTAACAAGCGATTGTCACGGGCTCGCAAAACGGCAAAACTGTCGAATGTGCATTTGGCGTTATTTTTTCAAAATGGCGATTGTTGTCGGGGGTTATTGAAATCAAAGAAACAGCAGTAGATACTGTGATCAAGACGATATGCATTCTTCACAACACAATAATTGATAAGGAGGGCCATCACAGTTTCAATGGCATGGACGTCCCACAAATTCCTTCCCAGTGTATGCTCCGACGTAATAGAGCAAACAATCCTTCAACGCGGAACGCGAAAACAGTACGAGATACATTCGCTGAATATTTTTCCCTTAATGCTTAATAACTGATTACTAATAAATAATGATAATTATAATTTGTATTCATTATACTCTTTTTTAATATAATAGAATTAACTTAAGACCTACATCTTCTTTTTAGAATAAATAAATAAATAAATAATTACATAAGTAAAACTTACCGGTCATCTCGAGTTCAGCTCCAATCTTCTTCCATTCCTTGGCCAGAGTATACCTATTATGGTGTTGCTTGTGCCGCTTATCCCACAACGGAGGAACATTAAAAACTAATTCAATTAAATTGTGCTTTTTAACATCCATTTCTTAAGCAAAGTACCTACAAATAGTAAACACGCCAAAACACTACACCGAAGTAACGCGTGTATACGCTACCGCTTGAGGTGGCGTAAGCTAATTCAACCAATCAGAGCCGAGTCCACATCGCTACATCGATGTAGACCGCAAGGAAAAACAAACTATTTTGTTTCTCCGCAGGCATCGCGCAAAACCTCCATGTAGACCGCGAGGTATCGCAGTAAAGCATCTTTCGGTATGAACACCAACGTTCTAAAATATAGGTTTGATTTGACATCCATGTATCGTTGTAAGCGGCGATGGTGCAAGGTAGCGAGGTATCGCAGTAGAGCATCTTCGGCATGTTCTTACCCTAAGCTACCTGCAGACTGGGAAGATCTCAAGATCGCTCAGCGCGGGTACGAGCACCATATTCGAACAAGTAAACGAGGATTATAGACGGGTCTTTCGAAAGTTCAAAAATTTCGTAAGATCTTTTTGAAAGACTCGGGGCAAAAAGTAAGGCCTACGTCTGACGCAGGTGGAGCTATAACATGTCTGCTGGAAACTATGAAACTTCGGAACTACCAGAAGGAGCTACCGGGGTCCACGGAGGACCGTTTGACTGGAAAGTAGCTGACCGGGTATTAGTTACAGAGAGATATTTGGGATGAGCGGTCAACAGGTTCAACCCATTTAAGATTGCAGGACCAAGGTGGATATATTTACTGACTCTTCTACAGAAAGGCATGGAACCGTTGCTCTTGCATTTGTTACACCTTTTTTGGACCTCCCCGGCTTTAGGGTATATCTCTGAGAGCTATAGAAAGGTAATAATTTCCTATCTAAGCCGGATCGTGTCAAACCCGACACGGAAAGGGTTACCAGGCCAATCAGCCTATTATCGTTTGCTCTAAAAGCGGTAGAGAATCTGATGGATGCCATACATAAGAGATAAGATACTGGTCCTCAAACACCACTACACCCATCCTACGGAGACTGATCGTCACAGTCTCGTGTGCTGGGTGAAAAGGTAATGTCTGTCCCGGGAGGGGGGTGCCCTGGGAGCATTTACAGATATATAAGGTACGTCTAACAACACCACCTTTAGGGAATGCAATCCCGCAGCAAAATCTCAATCCCGGTATTTGAGGGATTGTTAGATGTTAATCCCCTGGGATCACGGTATTTGCGGGATCCCGCAAAACTTTGAATGAATTGGCAACTAAGCAATTCTGTGCGGTTAACTTCTATATTAAAATAAATCGCTAATTATGATAATATTTAACAAAAAAGTACCTTCAGCCTAACTAAAGAACTCAAAAAACCCTCACCTGTAAAGCACAAAAAGGTGAACTTTTAAAGTGCCTCAAAAATCAGTAGATTTCTAACAATTAATTATTTTTTTATTATATATATATTTTTATTATAATTATTTTAGAAATAACTTCTCCGTTATAAAAGAGTCGCCCCCTTGGTCGACAAATTCCTCAGTCCCGCAAATCCCGCGGGATCCCGCTGCATTTATGTGCGGGATTAATCCCGCTGCATTTATGTGCGGGATTAATCCCGCAAAAATGCTGCGGGATCCCGGTATTTCGGGATCCCGCGATTCCGGTATTGCATTCCCTAACCACATTCGATTCTATTCTGAAAACTTTGGAATTAAAAGGATTCCCGGCATGTACAGAAGCAGGGTCATTTCATTATATTCTCAATTGGTACGACGGAGATGAGCTCAGCCACTAGAAGATGACCGCAGGATGGAGTGTTGTTTTCATTGCTATGGTGTCTGGTGCTTGACGGGCTCCTCCTGCACTTTAATAAACGAGGACCGAGCATGTACACAGGGATACGCGGACGATTTCGCGATATTATAACTGAAAATTTTCCATACACCGCAAAGATCTCATGCAAAGGGCCCTTGAACAGACAACAGGTACAGTAGTCATGGCCTTTCCGTTAACCCGAACAAGCCAGTTGTTCTAATCACGAATAGGAGAGCGGACCTTGATAGGCTCACTCTTCGAGGACGCCAGCTTGGTGTGACCAGCCCGTCTGATCTTGAAAGGGCAGATTGAGTGAATAAGTCAAAACGCCAGTGCATGCATATTGGATGTAGAAGAAATTTTGGCTGACCATGGAAGTTGAATTTCTAAGCCACAGATTGTCGCTTGTCTTGTCGGAGCCATGAAAATCACGTCACTTTTGGCCACGAAGGCGCTTCTGAGACAAGACCCTTGGCTGTAGAGGCGGAGGTTCGGACCGACAGGTTTCCATACAGTTAAAACAGGTTGACTGCCAGAGTGGTCGTGTACGCCCGCTAACAAATTATCCTGGTATGCCGCGGCAGTCGTATACGCCCGCTGGGACCTAAAGGTTCATAGCTCTCCGTTCATACGTTTCCGTTTGTCCGTTAGCCAATCAGAAGACAGCGAATTTTTAAATCATACGTCGTCCGTTTACGACGGAAAGGTTGGTTGAAGTTGAACATTTACGTTTCCGTTGGTCGGACCGGAGACCCCCGGGCTCTGTCGACCTCAGCATAAATATCGCCTAGGGCCTTGATACATAAAACATAAATAACTATTATGTCACGTTGTGACGTCTGATAGGTAGTCGTTTTATTGGATTGGTTATTTTATATAATTTAACAAACTGTTCAACTTTGTCAAACCATCCTATAAGAACATTTGAGAATTGTCTCTGTGAAAATTCTTGGGAACAAAGCGAATTAGTTCCAATGAGACATTGGTAACATGAAACTTTATTTTTGTCTACAAACAAAAAATGACAGCTGACTGACATTTGGTAGTGCATAATGTCAACCAAGAATGGCTGTTCGATCATTTCTTGGAACTTGGGAGGTAAATAGCTAATAAGAGAACGTTAGTCCATATTACGCCAAGCCCTTTACATTCCAGTTTACTCCTTTGCGTAACACAATCTCACATATTTTAAGGTTATTGATTCTAATGTAGTATCTTTAGGTCATAGGTTATGGATACATTAATGGTAGCCACAATGAAAACACAGGTCTGGAAGGGTAAATAAACATTGTATAAGTAAAATACGTTACTGTGAACTGCTCATTTGTAGTGTACGTTTTCGACTCGATGAAACAGGTGACGTGACATGGAATGTGTCGGAGGAATTGAAGGCAGTCCCCTTGTTCAGTTGTGAAACGTACGAAATTTACAGTACCTCTGTTTTGGGAACTGTAATTCGATTTGGTGCTTATGCCGGACATGTCATCGAGTTTAAGGTATGATTAGATGCTTTGCAATTACCTGTTAATTTGTAATCAACTTTCTCAGTGTGAAGAATTTGAGGCACGTGATAGTGTGGTATTAACATGCGAGGGTTGGTGTATGTTGCATTGCAAACGTATCCAGGAAGAACCAAGCGAATGTGCTCTGAACACTACCTTTTCGCTCCTACCGGCTCTCGAGGATGGATACTTTGGTGATATTAAAATTGTTGCTAGTAATAATAAACAAGTAAGAATGCCGAGAGCGCTGGCTGACAGTAGTCACATTGTGAGTTAAGTTTCAGGTACATTCTTGCATCGTGCAGTTGCTCGGTGGCGAAATTTTGTGGCACTCGCAGCCGCCACCTTTAACAGGCCTTCCAGAGGATGTAATAGGGACGATTTTGAATTTTTTGTATACGGAATGCCTGCCCGAAAATCTCACGGAGGCTACCGCCCGGCAGGTTATAGCTTTCGGTGCACAATATCAAACCCATACCAAGCTTGTAAATATGTGTCAATTATGGTTAAAGAATATGGCGTTAAAGCAGCGTAAGTTTACATCATCATTTACACTATTTCACTTTGTTTTGTCAATGGCTAAATTTAGGTGGGAACTCAAAAACAGACCAAATTTCATAAGAAAAATTGAACTTTGAAAAAACAAAATACTTTCTCCCTGACCCCTGTAAGTTTTAAATGGTTTCCACATCTTTTAGCAACCTTTAGAGCCACAAACAGTGGTCCCAAGATCTACAAAGCTTATCTAAAGACTTTTAGAGCCTGTTGTATTTTTGGGCATGCGCCATTAGGCTTTTGAAAAGACTTATACAAAAAATTGTGCAGTTTTGGTATTAAATACATAGAGTGTACCCATTAAAGTTTATGAAATTCTGACCATTTTTATTGTTTGATCCAAGATTTGCAGTTGGAATTTTTTTAAATTTGCAAAATCCAGTTTTGGACTTGTTATTCCATGTTGAAAAACACCCCCTTACTAAATTTTGTTGCGATAAGATTGTTTTGTGTCCCTCTTTAGGCATAGGTATTTTGAAATTTTGTTTACAGCATTGTAAAGAACATACCCAAAATCCTAGGGCGCCATGAGTTTCATCTGCCCGTATGTTACAGTTGCTGAAAAAAAATTTAAGGCAGATACGTAAATACTGTAGCGATTATTACAGAGCGACATCGGGGCGCCATCAGGTCGCCGTCAAGTCGATAAAGTTAGCGATTATAAGGAATGAGGGCGGATGTTACGAATTCTTTCCGGGAAATATGATGTGCTTATTCGAGAATGTTCTAGAATGCTATATAAACATAATTAATCGTGTTCAATTCCGTTCCGTCAATGTTGCCGAGGTGAAAACATCGAATTTCTGTTTTAAGTCAATCAATTTAAGGACTGATTTAAAATCATTAATATTTTATTGTTCATAAATAAATCACTTAAGTAAATTTACATTAATACTCATACTTCTGGGGCATAATATTTTAGTCAATTGGAACATTTAGTGAATTTTCTAAAATTTGTATTGGGTAAATGAAGTAATTACCACTTAACTAGCTACAGTTCTTAAAATGTAGCTCTCCAAAGGTTATTACTTTTGGAATGATAGGGCTGTGAACGCCATGAACTTTGAAATACTCTCCTCAAGTGGTAATTTATTTTGAATAAATGTGCTTGGAATACATATTAAAATGGCATGTAATTAAACCATTTTTTATTTCCTCTTTGAAATGGTACCTATATGGTACTAGTTGTTATTGGTTAGTTACATGTCCAAAGGTGTGTATCAGCTTATTACGTTATTATGAACAAGTTTAATAAAAAAATGAAGGAGCTTCCCATTTGTGAAAATGAAAGTATGTATGTACAGGTAGGTATTGCAAACACCCTGTAGAATATTGTCATATTGTTCAAGGAATTTAAGGTACGTTTAGTGTAAATGGGTATTAATCATTTTCAAATGATTTAGATTATAGAATTTCAAACTAGTGGAAACTGTTTGCTTTTGTTGACATGTGCGAAGATTGATTTTTTGAAAGAATATTAAATTTTTCAAAAATGATACCTCATCTCATACCACATTTATGGAGGACGCTGTACATATAAAAATATTTTTTCGTTATGCACATTAGTTCCGCAAACAATTTAGCATTTTAACCTTTTTGTAGCATCACCGTCAAGAGATTACACTAATTGAACACCCTGTATACAGAGTTAAAAAAATAAATAAAATGGTATCTACCTATTGATAAGTAGATGTGTAATGAAAGTGCTTTAATTGATTGCCCAATTTTGGAGATCGTCTACAAAGCGGTAGGAGGATCAACAATGGACATTGTTTTAGTGCATTCCAGACTTCTTGAACACTCTTAAATACTAGAAGGCAAGCTCAAGCTTTCTGGACGCTTTCATGTGCCTCTACACTGCTTTTCCGGAGTATTCTATCATTTTCCCATAGCTTTTGATGTCTATTTCGCAGCTTTTCAGGCTCATGCTATAGATTTCTGTTTGAATAACTTTCCAGACTCTTTTCTAAGCCTTTTAGGCCCTTCCAGAGTTCTCCGGATTCCTTATGGAACATTCTTTGCAGCGTCAACGCTTTCAAGTCAGTTTCCAGAGCCCTCCATAATTACATAGGTAGCTTGTGAGAGTGAACATGTCCCTTGGGACCCAAGCAAAGTGTCCCTTAATGGAATCCCAGTGAAGTGGAATTTTGAGTGCGGTACTGAGGGTCCCTGGTTCGAGTCCAGGTTCGGGCATAGATATTTGTAAATGAGTAGTGGGTTGACTTGGTAGAGCAGCCATGCATGAAACCCCGCCTACTTAAAAATAAAGTTAAAACATTAATTAATTAATTAGCCTTTCTTCTAATGTCCTTCAAGAGCCGTTTAGACGGTTTAGATACGTGACATGCTTTTTAAGTAAGATCCGTTTTGAAATTTCTCGTCTGCAGAGCTATACGTGTGGTGTCCGCCGCATGCGCATCACTTTTCTACATGTCTTGACAAGTGACAGCCGCCATTATGGACCCATTCGATAGTGTTCTTTATACGTGTTTAAAATTCCTCTTCCGGTCGCAAGTGCCGCCAACTGTGTAGTACGCGGCAACATCCTGTGTATCTTAACGTCAATTGACATCCTTTTTCCCGATTTACATTGATGAAAGGTAGCTTGGCTTTTGTTGTAAATTTCACGCGATTGTAAAATTTACGTAATCCGTCGGAAGACGAATTTGCCATTGAAAATGAGTTATCTGCGCACAAATAGTGAAATGCCGCTTGCGTTATCCTTACCGTTTATTAACGAGCGATCCAACTCGTTCATGATTTTGGACTTTCTGTCCGTCCGTTCGTCTGTGTACTCTCAAACGGTTACGAATGTTCTAATTCTGTTTTCAGTAGTTGAAAGACAATGGTCAAGGGACTAACTGATTAATTTTTGATCATTTGGACTTTCTGTCCTGGTTTAAAACAGTTTATTTACTGGCCTGTTCTCCTTGGCAACTTTCTTTAAATTAAAACGTCCAAACCTTTGATTTACTTTGATCATAACGCAAAACGGGTCGCACAAATATATTCGTAAGTTCGCCCTTTTTAAAAATAATAGTCGTAAAAGTACGTTAGAGGGCTCCCTTTACAAGGGTTGCGATCGCGAAATACGCCGCCCGCTTCTATTTTTTGGCGGGTTCTAATTTCACCGATTCAAAAATGCTTTTTGTGGCGCCATCGCTTAGAGCAATTTTTGCAAACACAATTGTTCTCGATATTTTCCATTTAAAGCGTATTCTACACGGGAGGTGTTCATCCAAAATTGCATGTCAGTTTTGGAAAGGAAAAGTACCTAGGCGTCCCGGATCATATTTTGAAAAATTGAGCACAGTAGGGCCGGTGAATGGTAGATACATTAATACGATATACAATGTGATGAAACTTTTTAACAATTGATTAAAATTCCAAAGAAATTAATCATTTTAAGAGGTACATGACGTTCCCGTGGTCCAAAACCGAATGATCTACCGGTGATCCTTCTGGTCTAGTCCCTACCCCTTTCTGAATTTGTAACACCTCCGAAAAATGGCGGCCATTAGTCAACTCGGCCATCTTAAACCATGAACGGATCGTATTTGTTTAGCCGCACAAATCATATGCGCAAAAATGTAATTCACAAAAAACTCACGGCCGCGTAGCCATTGTTTCACACAATTCTATGATATCATCATAAGTTGCTGTTTGTGGCACAAAAAAAACATTATGATTACTTTATCGCTTGCTAACTCCCTTCCGATTGTCGGCAGTCCAAGCCATTACCCGATTATGACGCCCACGGAAACCGGCGACCCATAAAAATACAGATCGCCAATTTCATTAAAAACCTACATATGACTTAAAAGTTTGGCGTTAATAATTTTTTTTCGAAATTGGCCCTCTAATGGGAACACCATGTATCTCGCAATATTTCTAAACTGCGCTACCACAACGAAATTAAAAAAATAATGAATCCTGTTACAGGCTTGTACTTATTATACCAGAAAATCTATCTTTTCACTTATGGAACAGAATCATTAAGTTAATACACATTTCAAAATTGCAGAAATAATTGGGTTAGTTAACGATATGCACAGTTGTGCAAATCAGATCATCGATCACTTTAATGTCCGCCACAATTCACCGACGGATACAATTGCTTCAAATCCAGCGAAACTGTGCTTCGTTGTTAAACAGTCTGTAAGGGACGCCGCTGTAGGTACGGCCGGTTTTTGTTGGGATATGGCTCGGGCACTAACCGAATTGTTGCAGTTGGTGCGAAACTTCTACTTCTCTGCGACTTATTCACGAAACGAAAAAATGAATTATCCAGAGAAGAACGGCACGAGATCATTCGTTACGCAAAATCGCGACTTCCGATCTTTATGACACAGCTCCATAAATTTTTGCACGCCGTAAAGAACACGTTTAGTTCGATGACTGCCTTGCAAAGAAACGAAGTGGCGACTTATCTCGTTCCCGAAATAGAAGTGATTTTGGATACGGTTTCAACGCTAATTGTGGAGGTGGAGAAGGCGTTGCAGCAAATAATTCAGGTCCTTTCGCCTCACGACGAGATTCGAAGAAAATCTGGGGTCGGTGACATGCTGGGGAAGTCTCTGAGAAACGTCCTACATATACGCGAATTGACGAAGCTTAGAAACGTTCACGAACATATCACGTGCAGCTTAGGTTTACTTTTACACAAAAAGTAAGTGCGTCCTTTTTTACGATTATCTGAGCTGTGAGTTGCAGGGAAAACTTTTATGAAATGACTCCTGCTCAAAAAGTCCGTTCGGTTGCTCGCAACTTGGAGCAATTGATTGAAGAACTGCCTATATTTCTGTTGCGTCTTGAAGAGGTCACAGGTGCCTTAGATGAAAAACTAGAATGGCGAGAGTTCAAATTTTGTTTTAAAGTAGGGACCAGCAAAGTGGTACGTGCGATAATCTTCCAAAGTGCTGAATAATACATGGCCTTTTTCTAGTCTGGTGTTCTCCAAAAGTTAGTTTCTCATCAGCATACGCTTCAAGATGTGATGATTCAGCTGTGCGAATTGGTACAACGCGACGCGTTTACGCAATCACTGTATAGTTTAGGATTGTTAGACGCTAGTAAGGTGACGTCACATGCTGAATATTGTCAGAAGATTACGTCAAATCCTTCTAGTTCGACTCCAAAACAAAATCCCATTGGTTACACGGTAAAGTATCAGTTTATCATTAGTTATTTAGTTATCTAGGTTTTTGTACTACCACTTTCAAATTATTTATTGTCTCAGTGACACGCAACAACCTCGACTAGCGTACCCTTTTAAACGAATAGTAAACCTGTATTTTTGTCACGTACTCGGCTTTAAACAGAACGGAACGAAACTTTTAGGTACCTAGAGATGGTGGCAACCGCGCTCGCTGCCCGCAATGCCTTTCTTGTTATCGATAGACATATTTTCGTTCACGTTCGCTATGAAGCGGTACATACCTAAATTTTTATCTATGATTCATACAGTTAAAATGGGCGCATCTCTGCTTTAGAGCCCTTGGGAGCAAATAAAGTCAAAATCTAAATCTCTAAAGCACCACCAAAATGAAAATCTGCCTTCACCTACTAACAGCCCTTCGCAATATAGCAAAAATAAATATGCAATGTTCGCGTTAGCGTTATCTCTCCAGTGATTACGTGACCGATGACGCGGATCCTAAATGGCGAATGGCGCGCTCTCATTGGCCAATGGCGTAAGCACAGAAGGGCCCTAAAGCCTCTGTCATTGGCCCAGGGTAAGGGCGTAGAAGCAGGCTCGTCTATAATTGGTGTGAGCTCACTTCCTGATTCAGAACGACCATTGGTCAACACTACTATCGGTATAAAATAGAATTGAAAATCTGCCAATCCATAAACTCTCTTCGTCCTAGAAAACTTCAGCGCTAGAATGTCAAACTAATTTGTTGTTGTTTATTCGCCTTTTACGACACGTAGTGCCTTGTGCTGTAGGGTTATTCTTTCCCACTCCTACACGTGTAAATATCGTATCGTTACAAAATCAAAAATAGCAGTAACATGCGGTAAAGGATAAGCGTCTTGAACAAAATCAAGGCTAACAGAGCATCAAAGGTTATAAATTTTAAAAGTAGGTATCTTCGCCCAACAAATAACCAAGAGCGTTTTCTTTTCGGTGAATAAGATGATGCTCAACAGCACGGCCGATGTTACTAGCTAGAGCTAACGTTTCCTAATTTGCAGTTGAATTTGGTTGAATCTCTTTGCGTGCCCCCATCTCCCATGAATAGTAATCTATCGAAACTATGCCTTCAATTACTTAAAAACGAAACCGGAACTGATATGGAATTCGAAATCGTCGTCAGTAACAGTGCCTCGGATCAGACGGTGCGGGAACACACCCAAGAAACGAGTAGCCCGACCGACTTTGAAACGAGCACAATTCGGGCACACCGCGTTATCGTCGCGGCTAGATGTGATTGGTTTCGTAGAGCGCTTCTGTCGGGAATGCGCGAGGCGATCGATCGCAAAATTATTGTCCACGATACGAACCCGACCGTGTTTAGGGTATTCTTGGAGTATCTCTATGGCGGTCGGCTACGTCAGAGCGCGCTAACATCGGATCAATTGGCCGAGCTGTTACTGTTGAGCGATCGGTATGAGGTCGATTCTCTGAAGCAGGTTTGCGAGTACGGCTTACAAGCCAGCATCGACGAGGACTCCGTCTTGTATTTTCTAAGCATGGCCGATCAGTACAACGCGAAGATTTTGCGGGTAACCGAATGCGCCTGTTTTGCCGCGCTTAACTTGCTTAATTTCAGAGCGCTTGCTTCAATTTCATCTCGTATCACAATGAGATAACCGAAAGTGAGCTGTTCTTCGAACTACCTGTTGCCTTACAAGCTGAGATCTTCGACTGCATTTGGACCCAGCCACCGGGCCGAAAGTCCAATTCGGATTTATTAAGGACTGGAACGCCTACTAGTCCCGACTCCAGTAATTCGGAAATGCAAAAAGGGAACCTGAAGCCTCAGGTAGAACGTAAATTTAGTGCTAGATTAGCGCTCAACTCAATTTTCAGGATCATTCGAATAGTAGTTCCCTTGAAGACCTACCTTTGAGCCATGATACAGCTCGTCTAGAAACTTCCTTGGCACAATTACGGGATATTGTGGGCGATACGGCGCCTCGGGAAAAGTTAATTCAGGTACTTTTAGCTGCAGATTATGATTTGTGTCGTGCTGTGAATTATTTTTACTCTAAAACAGAAGACCCCTAGCTCTTAAATGACATTTAGATCTTAGATTTTTTGGAATGCTGTTTCGGTTTGAATTTCACCCTAAGTGCTAAAGTATTTTCATTCAGTATTATTTTAGGGTCAACTATTACGTTTAGTGATTCTGTTCATATAGCGATTGGTGATAAAATTTTAAGATTATCTTATTTTTTTAGCATAGGTCACTTGAAAAAAACTACCATTATTTTATAGTAATAAATAAGAACATAATCGACTAGTCACTCTAATGTGGTTTATAATTATTATATAAGTAGTTGTTATTTCAAACAAATCAAACTTTTTAAGAATTTGCGATTGGGTTTTGGTAATCCATATTTACATGTGAATCTTTTTATAATATTCCTTTATTGAATGTTACTTACTGTTATCTAGTAAAAATAAAAAAATCCATTGAAATTTGAAAAGTTTTTAGAATTTTAAATTCACTTTGTGAGGATTACACAAGACTTATTATATGTGTTGTTATAATTGTTAATATTCGTATTCAAATAAAGTTTCCTTGTATATCATCTTGTCGCGTTTTCTTTAGTGTTTTGTTATTAACTTTCTAGACAGGTATCGTGCGCACCGTAAGATGCACAAGATGGCCGACGAAACTAAAATGGCGTCACTTTCCTGCGTCAGTTAAAGTGAATCTAAAAAGTATACTTTGTCTAAAGTTAGTTCCGGTGTATCTCAAACAAAATCAGATTGGAGATTACGAATACTGAAAAACTAACTAAAGTTAGATAAGTACTAACTCTGCTCGATTACGGAATAAATGCAATTAACCAAGCGCGAACAGGAAAAGAGAAATAGAGAAATCAAATTTTCAATCCTTGGATCATCATTTAAACATAAACTGTTAGATCGTTTAGTGGAAAGTGTATACTTTAATTGATATCTTAAACATTTGCAACCTGTACTAAAATGACAGTCTTTCGGACACAGATTTTCATTAAGATACAAGTTTACAACAAATAGAAATCAAGCATTACGGGATGACGACGCATCATATATGAAAAAGTTCCATAACTATGACAGATCTAAAAATTATTAGTTTTGACAGCTACTGGGCATAGCGAATTGGTGTTTTGTTTTCTTAAGTGAATTGTTTTGCATTTTGCAATGTCCTATAGTGATAATGAAGTAGAAAATTGAACCCAGCCGGAAATTGTGGAGCAGGCGAGTATTTAAAGCTTCCCTACTACGCGGTTACCATAAAACCTACCCTTTACGCGACCCGAGTGGTGTTCATACGACTTCCGTTTACCCTGAGACTCACATACCCAGGACTACAGTACCCTCTATCCGTGACCACCCATTTTGTATTGAAAGCATAGGGCTAATAGCAGTCCATGTACTATGGTCTAAGATTTGCACCTGAAGGAATGGAATGGAACTGGGTGTGTTGATTGAATTAGCTTAGCGGTTCGTGCAGGTTCATTTTGTGTTTGAGGTCACTTTGCATTCTGCATCCATTGAGTTAAGTTCAACTTGTTCTAATTTGGACAATTTCCCATTTGCAAATAAATAATGTACGTACTTATTTGATTTGTTTGAGATTCGCTATCAGTTATCAATTTTCATTTGATTGTTTTAACTCATTTGGATTGATTAGCGACTTCAATTTTTTGTGTACGAATCTGCCTTTTTTGAGCGTAATTAACCTTTTGGCCCTTCCAGAGGTGGATGCCGAAGTGACTTAGCGGCATCCATCTCGAAATACAACTTTAGTCTAAGGTTACCGTATCCAGGGCCTTCAGATACATTCAAGATTGGAGGAGGTCCGACTTATGAACGATGCATTTACTACTACTACTACTTTATGTAAACGACTTCGGAATGTATTGCTTCACAAAGAGGAAGGGACTGGAGGGGCTATTAAATTTTGTATTAAATATATGTCAGATTTAAATTATTCAAATTCAAGAGTGACTTCTTCGGATTGTTAATCTTTGTATATTGTAGATCTGATGTATAATGTGTTTAGCATTTTCAACAGTTACGCCTCATGGGTCGTGGTTCAGATTCAGAAGTATATTTAACGTTTGTGAACAGTGATTCGGAATTTTCTTTAGCGTGGTTCTTTTGTCCGATGGGTTCAAGGAGAACACGGCATTCTTTTGGCTTGAACTGTAAGTATTCTGTCTAAATTTGTAGGAACTTTTTCGGCTTTTTGATTCATTTTACACTTACTTATTCAATAAACTTTCTTTTGCTTTTCAAATTCAATAAGGTAGTACCCTTTAAATAAATTTTTTGTGCTCTCCCATTACCTATTCGTCAGAAATGTGCCGTTTTATATGTGTAATGTCAGTAAAAATGATGTACCTACCTACCTACTCATTCTCCATTAAATCGCATCATGTAACGTTTGTAATTCTCATTATCATGTATTGGATTTTCACCACCATCGTTCATTCCATTCATTTAGAAATGATCTTAAGAATCCTTTTTAATAATTAATGTCGCAGTATGTATATACAAGGAGATTTCTTTTTCCTTAAATTAACATTATTATTAAATAAAAGAATATACTACTATCGTTTATTGTACGTCCTAGACAGTCCTCGAGTGGGGACAACTATCAAAATTTAGAAAGAAGATATAGGTGAACTTGGAGGATAAAAATGCGCTTTTTCATCCCCCCAGACGACGGTGTTTTTAATTCTCCAAAGGTTTTTTGCTATATCAGCAATCGAGTCAGTTGCAGCATCGATGCGCGGGTTTTGTTATAAATTGTAAGTGATAAATAATAATTACTGTTATAAATTAATCCATTTTAAGGGTGTTATAAATTTATTGTTAGTTATACATAATTGTAAATAAAATAACTCCCGTAATTAAATTTACGTTACAGTATGTTAGAATCATTCAAGGGCTCTCCATTTTGATGTGTAGAATAAAATTTAATCTTTTTCAGACGTTGTCGAGTTCCAGATTGCAGCAAAATCTGGTTTGTCCTTTGTTCCTTTAATTTTAAAACGGAGAGTAAAAGGATTCCTTTCTTTTATTATACAAATTGTTCAACACTTAAATATTATGTTAACATTCACAAAATTATTTACTCTATACACTTACAATTAAAGGCACTTCTTCGGTTTGAGTCAAAGACTTGTTGCCATTTCGTGATTTAAATAATTTCCTTTTCAACAAACAAAATTATGCATTTTTAATAATTTTGTGTTATTGGCATTACAACGAAAACAAGTATGCAAGTGAGATATGTTTGTGCAGCCTTTAATTTTGGAAATGACATGTAACACAACAACAATTAAATTTGGAAATAAAATTGCAATATCGAAATTTTTTACAGTTTGATCCGGATGTTTTTTATGAGATTCTAAAGTTATCTGTAAGCTAACTCGTAAAAAATGGGCACGTGGGATCGTTCTTATTTAGAAATTTATGTTCAAATAATATCTTTTAAACGTTAGAAGTAAACAGGTTTTAATTTGATACAAATTCCATTCGAAGTTTAGGAACAATTATTCTTTTATTAAATTTCAAACTCTATACTTTTACGCCGACAGCACTTCCCTTTATTTGACGTGCAAAATACAATTAAGCATTGAATAAAATGCTGTTTTTGTTCAATGAATTAAGTTATTCACAACAATTCATGTTGCAGTAAACCGTATATAGCCGGTGACGTTGGGAGATGAAGGGGTACTTGACGTGAGGAGGAAGACATTTTGTCGTAAAAGGGGCAATTTTTGTGTCAACTTTTCTTTGGCTGCCAAGAGAATATAATCCTTGAGATCTATTTTTGCTATTATTCAGAAAGTTTACGACACGAGCAAGCTTGCGAGCGAGTGGAGCCATGTCATCCCGAGTGAATATAAGGCTTATATGTGTATTACATATGGCGTGTGATACGCGCGGTTATCATTTCCGATGGTTGTATGGATTGCGAAATCTGTGAATTTTTTCATTTAAATTAATCAGGTAGTGAACTTGAGGGAAATTGGTAGTAGGTTTAGTACCTACTATAAATGGTGAAATCATTCATGCCTATCTTGATGGAATTAGTGTTTTTATCATATGATGTGGTGATATAGGTAGGTACCTATTTTTTGAGAACAGGTAGCACCTATTCTTTCTTCTCATTCCAAGTTAAAATCCACCCTAAGGCACAGTTTAGAGCCATTTAAATATTTTTTTTTTATAGAAAGAATGAAAATGTGTGTCCCGCGACAGCACCAGAATCCATAATATAGACCGTGGTGTAACGTGATTGTCGACTGTAGATAGGGTTTTTAAAAAGGACAACAGTGAGATAAAATGCAAATTTATTTCAGAATGAGTAACACACATATATTAAAATTTGTAAATAAAGAAATTGCAAAATATGAAGTTATTATTCTAAAACACCTGGATTCTATGGTTTTCCCGATCACATAGCAGTATGTTTCCGTTTGGTGTAACAGCAATTCCTTCAAGCCCTTTAAATTCGCCATCACCTGAACCCCAACTGCCAAACGCCTTTAGGAAGGTACCATCGGGATGGAAAATTTGAATTCTATTATTTCCAGAGTCAGCCACACAAATAAAGCCTTGATCGTCCACTGCAACACCTCTGCAAGCAATAAAGTAAATTGGTTGCGAATGATCTAGTTATGTGGCCGTTACCTTGGGAACTTAAACTGCCCTTCATTTGAGCCCTCACTGCCAAACGTCGAAAGGACTTTCCCATTGACATCAAAAATTTGTATTCTATGATTATTAGAATCGGAAACAATCACTCTGTTCGTATTTGAAACCGCAATATAATGGGGATGCTCTAAGTGTCCTGGTTTATTTCCCATTGAACCAAATTTTCCAACAAAGGTTCCGTCGGATTGGAAAACCTGCACAAGGTCGTCAGTCTACTTTCCCAATGAACAATAAAGTAGGTACGCACCTGTACTCTGTGATTTTCTTTATCACAAACGTAAATGAAACCTAAAGCATCAGTCGTAATTCCCCAAGGATAATTAAAGCGACCATCTGCAGCGCCTTGACTACCAAACGACCTCAGGAACCTTCCCGAGGGATCAAATACCTAAACACATCAATTTAGCCATGGGAGTTTGATTTTATGGGAGTCACTTACTTGTATCCTGTGATTGTAGCGATCCGCAATAATGAATTGTCCAATTCTGTTTATTGCAACGCCGGCTAAACAGTCAAACTCTCCTTCACCGTTTCCATACTGTCCGAACTCCTTCAGGAAGTTCCCATTGGCATCGAACACCTGTACGCGGTGATTAGATGAATCGGCGACCACGATCGAGTTATCGGGTCCTACGGCCACACCTCTCGGCCACGTAAATAATCCGGGCTCGCTCCCCCGCCCCCCTATCTTGAACAGTAAATTGCTCTTTTGCAGGTACTGTTCCTTAGGGGAGGTACCTGCTGCTGCCGCTGCGATACCTGCGTTAAAACTTTTAGGATTTGGTCGACGAGTTTAAGACTTACCGGCTGCTGCCACCGTAACTGCTGTAGGGGTAGTGGGGGAGCCTGACATGTTTTTTTGGTCGTCATCTGAGCTCCCGACATCTGATGACCTCAATGGAAGTCCCAACGACAATCTTCTAGCCGCGCTCGCACTGCTGCCAGATGATGTGCCGGTTCCGGAACCCGAGTCCTTGTCCTTACCGGAACTTCTGTTGCCGTATTTGTTTTTAAGGTAGCGCGCCCAAGAGCTGAGCGCGGCACCGTCCTTTTCATTTGCTGTTGTACGATCGGGCGAATTTTCACGTGACTTTAACGCGTGCGAGGAACGACTTCGAGCAAGATCATTAGCAGATGTCGTCGAGCTGTAACCTCGCGATTGCATGTAGGCGGTTGGATTTGCTGTTGTCGGCGAAATCGGCTCGTCTGTTTCATCATCATCGCCGAAGGCGTGACTGCTTTTGCTTCGAGCCAATCTTTGCCTTCTATCCTTCAATGCAGAGTAGCGCGATTTAGGACTTGAGTATTTGTCAGTGTCATCTGATGTCTTTGTGTCATCGGTTGTGGTTGAAGGTGTGCGATTTTTGTTCATAAAACGACTTGTGTACGTAGGTTCTTCATTACTCCTCGTTCTAGAGTATGTCGTTGGAGAGTCTTCATATCTAGATCTTGTGTTCTGTGGCTCGTCTTTTTTAGGTGATGAATCTGATGAGTCTCTAGCGTGAGCACTACGCGCTAGTAACGCACCAATGTCAGTTTTGGACATATCAGCGGTACCGGTCGGTTTTGGAGTGTCCTCGTCAGATTCCTCTTCGCTTTCTGTTTCTTCTTCGCTGCTTGATTCTGGTTCTTTAGGGGAGGGTGGCGTAGGTACTACTGTAGGAGTTCGATTTGGTAAGAAACGGCTTTGAAATGTTTTTTGGTTAGACGAACCTTTGGGTGTGCTTGTCGAAAGTGCACGTGTACGTTCTGGTGTTGTATCAGTAACGCGTGGTGTATATTTTGGTTTGGTTTCTTCGGGTGCTGCACCACTTCGGATAGCGCTTGATGCTGATGATTCGGTAGAGGTTGTCGAGTCTGAGCTCGTCGAGCGAGTCGCTTTTTTGTGCGTTGGTGCTGGTTCCGGAGCTGGAGTTCTCCTATTCACGACTGGGGTTTTTGTGGTCTTTCGTTGAGTTTGTTGGACTGAGCTTTCTGAAGCATCGGAATCTTCATCAGATGATGCGGCCTAGGGAAAACAGTGTGTTAGGTGGAAGAATGTTCTTGTTTCATACACACACAGAACAAAGAGCTCTTGGTCTTCTTTGAATGCAAGAAGATTGATCAAAACAGAAACATGCCAGTATGTGATCGGAATTGTGTGTTCTAAGTGTTGAAGTGTTATTAAACTCACAGCAAGCAACAATTATTCTGTTATTGTACTTTTGCTACACTTAATCAGGTACATGTGGTGCAGTTACGACTCATCACTCACCTCAGGAGCTGGAGTTCTGCGGGTATTTGCGTGTCTATCTTCTACGTCATCAGAGCGTTTTGTTACTGTTACTGTGGGGGAGGGTTCGGGTGGGGCTGTGGATGTTGTAGCTCCTTTGTTCTGTTTTTTAATTTTCGATATTTCGTCGTCTTCGCTTACTTGTCTATTGGCGAGAGGTGGCTTTTTCACAGTCGGTTGTGTAGCCTTTGGTGGAGTAGTTGGTTGTAGTGGCGGATTTTCCTTTTCTTTCTTTTTGTTGGTTTCATTTTCTTGTAATTTCTTCATTACGCGAGGGGAGTCTGCCAGTCGTTGTATTCCGCTTAGTGGACCTCGCGTTACTTCTTCAGTGTCCAATGTTCGTTCCTTTTCCTTGTGTTGTTCACTGAAACGAACCCCGCGTGTTGCAGGTTCAGTATCTGAGTCATTCTCCGCAGGTGCATGTCGATTGAAGCGAGACCGATATCGAGACCTCGCCGGTCTGGTAGTTTCTTCATACTCATCACCGTAGTCTGTAGCACCTCCTCTTCCATATCGATCATACCTGTCAGTATTAGCGGTGGTTGGTCTTGTTGTTCGGTCGCCAAACTTTCGTCCTCCTAAGGGAAGATCCTCCTGTCCACCTTCACCGTATGATTTATCATAGCCCCTCTCTTCCTGTTGCCTAAATTGTGAAGCTAACCTGTGATCACTTTTGGACCGCATTAAACCTGGTCCTCCACCCGGTGGTTGCAGTAAGGCACTACCACCTCCAAACTGTTGATGAGCAATATTCAGATCCCCAAATCCTGCCACATGTAGAACTAGTTGATTAGGGTCGTGGGCCAGTATTAGCCTCACTTTCCGACCATAATCCGAATTCTCATACTCAAAGTTTCTGATGAATTCTACAGTCTTGAGAAAAATTTCTTTGGCATCCATCAGTTCGCAATCGTCCCAGTCCACGCTCTCGTTTATATGTTTATCTGCTAAATCACAGTTGCTGAGTATATTCGATATTTCCTGCTCCAAATTTTCCTTCAAACCCGTCAAAGTTCTCAATTCCGTGCACAGATACCTGTCGACCTCGCCCCTCAAGTAATCCGTTCGATCTTTAAGCGCCTTCGACAATCTTCTATAAATTTCTTCAACTTCCTCCGAAACTGATGAACAATTCGTCTGAATGCTTTGCGTGTTCCTTTCGACCAGCGACAGCGAATCTTGCAATCTGTGAATGCTTCGACGTATTTGATTATTTATTCGACAAATTTCCCTGCGTAAGATGTCCATGTGTGCACCCTTGCAATCGGGACAAACTTTTTTGTCACAATGAAAGCAAAAGCTGCAGTACGCCTTTTCCGAGCAAACATTACATCGTTCCATTATTTGGCCACTTGTCGGATCCGGTAATTCCCCAGTTATTTCTATGTGAAGTTCCAAAAATCTTTGCAAAGTTACATTGGTTGGAAAGCCTTGTACGCCTTGGTACGGAATTCGGTGTTCCGCACGACATTCTGGACATTTTACCTAAAATGAATTATTTAAAGATTTCACATGGAGATCTCGCGTCGTCCTAAAAGCTGTAAGTAATTCGAAACAGGACACATGTTAGGATAAAGCCCTTTTGCGCTGGACATATTTACAAAGAGAACGAGTGAGCAACCAATAAGAATGATTTACGTTTTTCGGTCTAAATTTAGCGATTATCGCAAAAAGTTGGCGATCGTTTGCATACAATTTGAACAAATAAAACTCAAAATTAGTTGATCAATTACTCTTGGGCCTTTGTGGTCATTCCATGCTACGTTTCCGGAAAATCTCAAAGTTGAAATAATTGCATTGCAAATTTGATAATGAAAGCACGCTGAAAAGTGCCATCATTTGTCGAGTTAGCTGAAGCAAATCTGGAGCAAGAAGAAAAAAATAATTATTGCAGGAGACACTAACTTATGCGACGCATATTTTTAGAACGTTCGGGTTAAGAATTTATACATTTATGTGCGTTTTACCTGGCGTCGTACGTAATCGACTAATCCTTCCAGACATGGTTCCATGCAAAAACTGTGTTGACATGGTAGTAACTTTGGGTTTCTGTACCGATCCAAACAAATGGCACATGTTAGCAGTTGTTCAAACTGTTCCATGTTTCTGTAAGAAAAAAAGTTTTTAAAAAGTGCGGAAAAAATGGGTCAAGTGCGTTTAAAAATGAGACATGTAGATAAATTGGTATTTGCCAAGCGTAATTGAATATTGGATTAGTACACAGGCGCCCTTGTTCTTATTGGGGTTTGAGAAAGGTGAGCATTTTTCAGACGTCACTCTGAGTAAATTAAGGGATCCGTAGGATATACGAAAAATTAAGCGGTCGCAGTTAAGACTTGAAAGGGTTCTATAAATAAAATTGCAAGTTGTATAAATAAAGCGCTGCGTGTTAATGTATCACGCGCCTATTTAATTATAAGGGTATTAAACATTTTGTGAAGGTAAATCTTAGGTTATAGTTATTCGATACTTCTGAATAAGCGTCGCGTCGCCTTCACAGTGACGTCGAGCCAACCTTCTTTATTAGGCTAATAAAATCGCAGCATCCGAAATGCATTGCAAACATTGTTAGAATATGGCAAAGCGGTTAATTTTTATAAGCCTCTCCATCACGAAACTTACGTTCTAAGGGAAATTATTTCATCACGTATTTAGTGCAGCACGGTATGTAGTTGTTGAGGTTCTAAATTCAAAATTAGATTTTCGGTGCAAGAAACTGAACTACCTACTTTACAACGCTCTGCCGGCGCTCTATCTGAGCTAAATTACGATTAAGTTTTATAGAGTTGGAAGGTTTGGTCGAGTGGGTTTTTAGTTGGAAGGTGGTTATAATATATTTTGAATACGGAGGTTGCTATAGGTAATATCGTGACGTGTATCTTGGCCCTGTCATGGTTTTATAATTAGCAACAAGGATAGAGAAAATAGACAAGTCACTAAGCTAAGAGCGACGCTCTCTCTTATTTTTCCCACGTTTTCAGCGTGTGTTATTGACCAGAAGGGCGTTTGCATTTTGAAGTAGTACCGAACCGACATCAAACGGTGGAATCGTGCTCAAAGTTTCTAAAACCCAAATTTGTCAAGTCATCAAAGGATGACTACAAAGCTAAACATTCTTGTAAACAACATTTCAAAATATAAAGAAGTTCGCTGCCTTTATCCACAAGGTGCCAGAACGTACATATAAATAGATTTCGGACATTACTATTATTTTATTAAGACGAAGGAATTCCACTACCACCAGCTAAAAGGTGCAATTTATCTGGTTTAATGGCTTTTCCGTCATCTGTTCAGCTCTTATTAATGACCTTTTGCCTACTGCGAATACGTTTGGGCTGTGAATTAATTTCACGATTTTACGATTAGATTTATAATCTCGAATATTTAGACGAAGATCTGTGGTGAGTACCGAGCTTTGCCAGGATTATTTTTGAGATTGGTGCAGACACGCAGATGGAGAGTTAACTCTCCTCTTCAATGAAAATAAAATCTCGTTTAAATTTACTTTTCCACTCAATTGGACAATGTGTTACACTCCAAATTTATTTATTTATAATGGGATCGGCATGTTTTCTTAATTTTCCATTTAGACCCAGAGTGTCCAAGTAGATACCTATTATACAAGTAATGCTTTCACATCGATCTCACATCGAAATGTTTGGCATACCATACAAGATCTTGACATCAAGTGACACACACGGTACTTTGGATCTAGACTTACAACTTTGCCAAAAATTGTTAAATATGATGACTGAATCATTAATTTAAGAAAAATTTTATATTACTTTTAGAGGCAACTTTTAAAATAAAGTGTGAAGAATTGATGCTCCGTTTGGAAATTTTCTAAGAAATATCCTGCGGCGAATCAATTACTTCAGTTGTAACAGTTTTTACAGTTGGGCTGCCCAAAATTTTAGTTTTACCTTCGCTAAATGTGAAAGGTAATCAAGGGGATCAAATGTAAAAACTGAAATTGAGTTTCAATTTAGCCCCCCTTTCATACAAGACATATTCGCGCGGGTTTTTAAATGTTTTGGTTAGGGGGTGAAATTTTTGGCTATGTTGACATTTATTAGATCATTTAAAAAAGAAACAACTACCATGGCCCCCCTCTGCTTACTTTGCCCCCCCCCCCCTCCCGTGTGATTATCATAGGCTAGGCACGGTAACTCTCAGATACTCACCTGCTATCAATAGTTCACAATTTTTCCTAGTAAAGGCCGAGTTTCACAATAATTTGGGTGTTTTGCTCGGTATTTTGTAACGTGAGGGGTGACACAGTAACAAAATCACTTACTAATAATATTATAACGGGTACGTCAGTGAGGATGGATGCTTTTAGAACTAATACTCAGGGTGGGGTGGTCCGATTGTGGTGGGGTATGTCGCGTTTGAAAGAGAAGACCCCCCCCCCTCCAAGTTTCAGTATCCAGTACCTACCTAAAATCGAAAGTCTACTTAAACTTTTTTGCGTAATTGGAACTCCCCATGTTTGTGAACAATTTAAATACATAACAACTTGTTGATTGGAATTACGTACTTTGGTCATAGAATTTTTTTAAAATCCGTCCATCCTTTCTGACGGACCCGTTACATGGTAACGAAAAAGTTTACGATTTTTGATTTGACGATGAAAACTTGTACACAGACCAGCGATCACCTTAGGCGGCTCTGCGGTGCATGTTGAACTATCCGCAAAGAAGCGAATCATTTCAAGATTTTGATTTTATAACCGCATTTAAAAAAAGGGCCGATCTCAAATATTGTAAGTATTAACCAACAGAATGATTATGAGTAAACTGATTTTTGAAGTTTGCCATAATTTTGGAAACAACTAGTACAATTGATAAAGCTTGTCTTTAAGATAACGGCGCTTCTATAAAACATACAGACATGGGTTTTGGCGATTTACAACCAGCTAACAAAATTGTATGATTGTACATAGATATATCTTTTTCGTCCCTTAAATTAAATACAAAAGTTGTATTGGGGCAAATGCATTTCACCAATTGAAAGCACAGTTAGGCAACTTAAATTCATTGTTACATTGACGACATTACGATTGGCGGATGCAACACGACGAAAATCTTAATAAATCCCTTGAAGTAGCAAAGAAATACCAGGCTAAACGAGAAAAAGAGTAAATTTTCTACTACTTCCATTAGACTTAGAACTTCATGCATAAAATCAGTTAAAGAAGGGCTACGTTCAATTAATAATCGTTGCCGCCCTAATGAGATTGGGGTAAATGGGTAAATAAACGAATCCAAATTAGTTTTGAAAATCTGAAAAAAAAATATTACCACGAAAATTCTTGGTCGGGAAATAAAAATAGTCAAAATTTCTTCAAATTACCTTACACGGTTACTTTGTATAAAGGGTGTTACATGAGCGCATGTAATAAAAAATTGGGTGATAGAGGGGATCATGACAAGCACTTTTTCCAAATAAACCGAGGGTCCAACGTGTTTCGTTTTGGGAGCCACCCCCAAAGAATTGGTGAAACTGGTTAAATTTTTTTCTCAGCAACCATAAGAGTTACAAAGATGAGTGGCACGTCTTTTAATAGGTTTTCGAGTATGCCCTATCAGATTTTGAAATTTTTTTTCCAAATTCCTACCACGAGAGGGCGCACTCCTACTTGGGGGTGCGAAAAAAATTCTGATTTTGACGAAATTAGGCATTGGGGGTTTTTGAACATGGAAATGACGAATCGGGAATTAGCTTTTGAAAACTCGAAAAAAAAGTTTCACTACAATTCTTGGCCGAACAACGAAAATGGAGAGAATTCCACGAAATTTGTTGTGCACATACTTGATGAGTTAAGGAACAAAATTGACGAACAGTTTTTTAAATTAACTTTTCAAACAAAAATTATACTCATTTGAAAATTGGGCCTTCGGGTTACAAAGTGTCCCCCACCTACTAGTGAGTGATCTAATTTCGCATGTAGTTAATTGAAAATGTTGCAAATAACAAAAAAATAACGATTTAAGTCGACAGTCATCTGTTTCACTTTCTCTACCCTTACGGTTAAAGTGATCACTTTATCTATCCTTAGGGTTAAAGAGCGGCTTAGTCTACTCATTCAAACCTATTAAAATGTCAATTTAACATACTCGTATGCTATAAAATAAAAATATTATCTTAACTAGTGAATAATGTGTAATTTTTTCCACTGAAATAGAACTTATAATGTTATCTTTTGAACGGTTTTGGATAATAGTAGATTATTTAATGTGCTGAAGAAGTTAGCTTCAATTACAAACGCACCATAAAAAGTTTATTTACCAGCGAATCAGTCTAGAAATCCAAAAAGGCAATGCCGAGTGTATTTTAGGAACCTTAGCTTTTTTTTGTAATTATTTTCATTAAATGTTTATTAATTAAAAAAAAAGAATGTCATTAGAATGCACAATTATCTGTTTTACTTTATCTTTCCCAAAGAGACACTGGTAGCAGTTATGGGAAAGCACTGGCAATTTGTGCAAGTTAATCGCGCAAATAGGCAATGTTAAAGCGTGTAGTAGGTAATTTAAAAACATAAAACTTTAATACGCTTTGCCGGATGAGTAGAAAGAGTGGGCGAAAGCGTTATTTTTGTTTATGATTCTTCTGACCCACACGCACTACCTTACGTTTATTTTTGGCAAGTTTATAGTCAAATGCTCATGTGGATAAATATTGGAAACAGAACCGAGATCTCGTCAATTTACGTAAAACACGTCAGGAAATCCATTTTTGTCGGGATCCGAATGTCGTCAGGTGAGATACGTGGGACTTTTGTTTGTGTCTGGTAGGCAAATTTCGAATCTTGGCATATGATCCAGAGCACGTTTACGACTTAGAAATTGTGACGACGGACCCTTTCACAATATTTGTCCACAACCACATAGAAGAAGAATTGTTAAATTGTTGAAGGGCTTAAAATTTGATGAATTTAATCTCATTACAGTTCCTTTTTTGATACCTTGCTCCTACTGCAATCGACGTCGCAGTATAAAAACCAAGTGATTCATGATAGGAATTTACAGTGGATGCCATCTTTCATAATGGTATAGAAGCTACCAAAATGAAATATGAATCCAAAGATATCTATTTACCCGAGACCTTTGTCATTGGATCCGAAACTGAAGGAGTTTTTTGAGAAGCTATCCGTTTATTAAAACTTTCCAAACTACTACGCCGGGGAATTACATATTGAATCCTCGTTTTCGTGTATTTATGTCTAGGGATCCAACTATGTCAAACTATTCTTAATACACATAGCAAAAACTGAAAGTACACGGAAATCAGTGTAAGGTATTTTAACAACAAAATTGGCCAACTATTTTTTTAAGCATCCGCTATTCTTGTTCTGCACGTGCAAACTTAATTTATTTCAATCTTAAAACTTCGTCACGTTATTTTTGGAAAATTTGAAAGAGAACCAAGATACGCATTGTATACATATTTCAAGGCAATTAATCACAATAAAACGTACTTAGGAAGAGCCTGGTGCAATATTAACACAATACACCCTTTGATTGAATGCCACTAGATTGATAGCGTACAGCAGTTTGCTTTTCATAGGACAAATTGCATGGTATTGACTGCAGCTGCACAATAAAAGATGAAAATCGAAAACTATTTTTAAATTCGGTTAAATATACGAGAAAGCGCTTTCTCAAATGAGCCAAAAGTGTCTCGGATTATTAATAAGTCTTTATGGAATTAAAGTGCATAAATCAACCACCACCCACCTTGAATGGCAGTAATGTCTTAGTAACAAGCATTCA